AGCTCTTAGCAGGGAGACCTTTAACAAAGGAAATCAAAATTTTTGCACAAAATTTTGGAATCTGAAGCTTACTGGGGGGCTAAACAGACAGTGTAACCTGGGAGAGAGGGGTCACTCAAGTGAGAGAGACAGATAGAGGTTTTTAATGTGTATTAATCTTAATTTTGTGTTGTCATCAGGTAGTACCATATTAATGAAGATTAGTGAATTGTGTTTTTCTCCAAGATTGTGAGTTCTTTATAATCTTTCCACATTGTTTTCTTGGAACAAGTTTAATTTTGCTTCACACACAGCCTGTAGCTGATTCAGACAGTTTTACATACTTTTCCATTTTATTTCAGTGTGGAATGAGGTTCATGTTGTTATCATACACCTTTTGCAGAGAGATGGACAGTTTCAAGTGGAGTCAAAGCCACTAGTATGACTGGTTTATGCTGCCTTAAGAATATCTGACTAAAGCCTGCATTTCTCTAAGTTTTATTCAACGATTTCTGGACATAAATGGGCATTATGGAAAACAAAGACAACTGCAAAATAGCAGGACACAAGCTATGCCCAGCTTTTAGGAATTGCCAATCCAATGGTTAAGAGAATGGATAGTTACAATAGTGCTTGGGGTCACTTGTCCAATCTTCTCACTTGGGAAGAATTCTCACTGAGCTCATTACAGGCTATTTTATTTTAACAATGGGAGGAAAAGCATGACAATGGATTTGTTTCAACCTATTTTTATAACATTTTGTTTTCTCCCCACTGCTTCTCCTTTCACTTTAGAGATCTCAGTTTTGACTGATGAAAGACTGAATATGGATCCAGGGAAGAGGAATGAAAGAAATTAACTGAAGCACAACAGATTCTTATAGTCCATAGGGCTGATTCTAAAGGGAGAAGTGTCAATTATTACTGCATATATTGTTTTAAAGGACTGATAATTTGATTTAAACAGGAAGAAACCAAAATTAAAAACAACAGATAAACTTCTAAGACTGACAACTCCGTGTGATGCTATACAGCATAAGGTGCACCTGATGAACACAATTCTTCACAAATAAGGTACATGTAACTGAAAGTAAAAAGGCTGGGTGAATACTGTAATTAACTCATCACAATAATACTATTTATGAAGTCTTATTATCAAGTATCTCTGCAAATATTAGCAGGAGCCCTGCTTTTCATCCACCTGTATTACTTTCTGGCATTTTGCCCTGATAGAATATGGAAGTGTTTAAGGGACTGTTTATACAGATAAAGAAATTTTAAATAGTGTAACTGGGTAAGGCTCCAGCTTTACAAGTTACAGAAATGGGCTTATGCTGCAAAATTCACACTAGGGATGGATTCTATTTTCCAGTTCTCCTAAAATACCATGAATACTCCATGTCCCATGTCTGCAAACAAGGAACAACTATCATTCTTACAAAGACAGCCACCAACCATAAAATACAACAATACAAAGTTAAAGTGAAGTAAGGTTAAATTGGAAATTTCCCAGAAAAACCTCCAGTACTCTTTATAGATTAATACAGTGTTACTTAGGATAAACTAAGAGATCAGTAAGACTAACATTGCCCTAAAGAGATTGCAGAGCTGATAATGAAGCAAATTCACAAAGTGACGCATGGAACAGTTATTATTAAGGGGGTGCTTGGTCCTGCCACTCTCACTAGGGATAGAACACAGTATTTTGAAAGCAGATCTACTGAACCAGTCAGTGCTTTTACTGACTTCATTATTACTAGAAAAACAGAAGTTGTATGTGAAGGTATGGAAATGGTCTGTGTTGAAGTAATAAGAATTGTGAGATTGTAGCTGGCTTTAACTGAAGATAGTAGGCTTAGAGTCTTCTGCTTAGTTCTGTTTGACACAGAGGAGAATATTTGGCATGACCAAAAATTAAAAGAATTAAAAGAATACTTATAAAAATAATTTATTTATCAAAGAGTGTGTACACTCATAAGAGATAATTCACCATGCTTCCGAGAATGATGATGTAGAATACAGGGCTCTGGAGAATAGAAATTATGAAATAATTAAAGCTTCAGTGTCTTGAGCAACTCAGCATACTGCCAAAATCACGATTTTTGAAATACTGAGAAATACTCAGGGACTGTAATGACACCAGAGGAAAATGCAGGAAATAGATCACAATTGTGATGAAAGCTGTAGCTTATGGTAGATTGATATGCCTCTACTGGAGGAGGAATGACTCTCAACAGAAAAATTATGCCCTAAAAACTATGCTTGAATAGCAACAGAAGCAGAAAACCATAGCCTAGAAGTAGTTTCTTTGAACACACAGGAAAAATTAAAGCGCAGAAAGGGAAATCCATCAAATTTAAATTCCTCTTCTTTCCCATTCCCATATTGTTCATCCTTGTCTTTCCCATCTGGTAGGAAAGATTGCTAAACCACAAAGGCAAATATAGTGCAATTTACACACAACAATCTTCTGAGAACCTAGAACCCAAGGCCCCAGACAGAAAAGCTCCCCATCACATAACAACTGTTAATTACCTTCAGTAAATTTCATGTTCTATGGAAATCTCCAAGGGCAGTAGACTTGTTACATTCTACCTGCCTTACACTGGAGGTCGACCAGTTTTTTATTTGATTTACACAAACCTTAATCAGAAATAGCCCAAGGCAATGAGGTTACACCCATTGTATACAAAACGAAATCAACATAAAAATCAAGTTCTAAAGGAGCATAAAAGTCTCAGGACTATCTAGAGGAACACTATTTGAGTTACTCAGGTTTTTATAACATTCTTCTTTCATTATTTTTAACATGACTGAATATTCATTATTCTCTTTTACATATCCAAGTTATGATGAAGTTAACTGTACTTTCTATCAGAGTACTACTCTTTATTTTTATTAAGATTATTCAGTACAATTTTGTCTCATTGTCTTTTTGTTCACCATTTCTCCATCATTTCTTCTGATTGTATCTGTGACCAAAGGGATTTTGAATTGAGGTGGTACTTTGATTGTTTTTGTGGGACATGATTATGCTTTCTTTTTCCATTATATTAGGCTGAATTCTCGCAGCTCCCTGCATCAGTTAATACTTTCTTTTAAAAAAGAGGTTACCTGTAAGTAGCCTTCAAATATGCAACACACTTGTACAAAAAGGTTACAAATCAAAGACCATTTAGTGAAAATTTTCTCTAATATACTTTACATATTAAATGAGTGTAATAAAAAACAATAGGGGCTATCCTTTTTTTCTGCAACTCCACAGTTTTTAGCAATATTTGTGTTATTATATGATGCCCTTACTGTTGGAAAACTGCAGAGTTACAAAGCACTAAAATATTTGGACAACACAACTTCCTTTTGGATTAACAAAAACTCAGCCACCTTATTAAATTGAGACATTTAAGGGAAAAATGTGGTAAAAGGAACCGAAATTACTTCATTTGTTCATTTCTTTCCATCCCAATTGATTAGCACTGACTTTAAATTAAGCAAGTGGTTTTGAGATATAATGGATAGACAGTAATCTGGTCAACCTCGAAGTTTTAATGGCACGGTTAGGATTCAGGAAGAAGCCTCCTCAAGAACCTCTGAAGTTTAAAGGTCTCATTACACACAATTTTAAAATTTTTATTACATAACTAGATTTTGTAAAAGGTTTAAGTTTTACTCTTCAGTCCAGATTCATCACACTTACACTGCAGTGCCTAGCCTCAAAGCCTCTTCCAGGCTTTTAGTGGTATCTCACCAAATAAAACTGTCTGGGACAAAGACCTAGGTGCAGTGTAGAAGACTTAAACCTGGATACTAGTGTGGATAGCAACAGAACATCAGGGCTTCTGGACCAGGTATCAGGTCTGGTTTTGATGCTGGAGGGATAAAAGTGGTGCTTTGAGAAATAGATACTGTTCTTTCCGAAGAGAAAGAAAACAAACAAATGTTTTTGGACTTCCCTTCATTAACTGAAATAAGAACTTGCTATTAGACAGCTTTAACCAGCTGAATAAATATCCACGATTAACATCTAGCCAGAATTATTTGAAAAGGTACACTTAAATTTAGTCTTCAGATAAACATTGATTTCACCTTCCTGCTTTGATATGAGATAATATTAAACCAGAATTATCTGCAAACATTAGCAAAGTTATTTTCAGCTTAAATAAATGCAAGAGAAAGACCACCATTGGCCTCTGCAAGAACTTACAGATTTATACTTCAAACTGGAAAAAAAAACACTCAAAAATCAGAGAACTCTCTTGTCACTCCATTACTAATTCCCCATCATCTGTTTTTTATGCATAAATTATTTCAATCTAAAGTAAATATTGCAGATTTAATGACTGCAACAGGTAGAGTCCTGAGGAACTAAAGGAACTAGAGGAAATTGTAGGAATTACGGGAGCATGGAAAAGCCCTGGGAAATGTCATGCTTTTGAAGCACCTCTCAGAGGTTTATCTGAAGAAGAGAGAAATCTCTCCATTTGATTTGAGAAGTAGGATATCACTAGCCTAAATCACCTGGAGTTAACCTTTTCAATGTGATATAAGTCTAGTCCCTGGCCATTCCTCAGCTTCCTTCTCACATTCTCCAGGAAAATGTTTGCATGACAGTGTGCTTCAGTGGCAGTCTGAGGAAGCCCATGGAAAAATTTACAGCGGACACTTCCACAGATGGATACACAAGACAAGGCAGAGCCAGGACTATCTTATAACATCAATGCAAAGAACAGGCAAGGAAAGTTTATTCTTCCCCTGCAAATGAACATCTAGTTACAGCCAGAACATCCAGAAGACGCAGGTAAGAAATAGTTTCTGAGAGGCTTGTGTGCTTGATGCAGTTTTGTACACATTTGCTATTTAAAATCTTACTATCATAAAAGTCAGGCACTCCCTCAGCAGTATTTCATGATCCTCACTTCTTACTCTGAGTCCTTCTTACTATTTTTATTATCCGGTTCCGAGAAAAACTATTTTGCAAATGTTTTGAATTCTCCAGTGTTGATACAACAGCCATACTATACCTTAAATGAATCTTCACTGCTGGGATTAAACAGCTGGTGTTTCCCAGATCCCAAAATAATAGGACCAGAAGCTTTGTTTTCTCCATAAGCGTAAAGGGACACCATTGCTGTCGTGCCAGCTGTTTCAGAATCCCCAGTGACAACAGTAATCTTCCAGTCTCCTTCTGTAAAGTAAAAAATAAAATCAAAATGCTTTTAAAACTTTTACTGATATGTAGCAAATCACTTGAAACATATAAATAAAAGCATAGTTTAGCCCAGGGACTTTAACTACTATGCACCTAAAAGGTAATGATGCTGGGAGAAGGAGCAGAAAAATTGGCTAAATGCTACATCATTCAAACTCATCTTAGGCAAGTTGTGTAACTTTAATGATTTAGGAGGTTTGTAGCATTGTAAAGCTGGAAATATGAACACAGAGCCTAGGGAGATTTCTTGTGATAACCCTGTGACAGGTTATGACAGAAAAAGCTAATCTCCAGAGTTTTGACATGTATAACTAAGAAATGCAACAGGAAAAAGTTACAAAGCATCCCAGTTAAATACAATTTCCTCTCATTCAGCGTTGATGTGGCACATCACTAAGAGCTCTGTTTGCTTGGATGGAGGCATGACACAGAGATTAGCATAGAAAAAAAAAGATTTTGAAGAAAATTCTGACACTTGATGAGGACTCTCTAGAAAATAATGTTATAGAAAGCTTTCCTGATACTAAAATGTCATCTCTGCTCCCATACAATGCTCACAAGTTATTTAAATATCTGAAAGTATCTTAATATAAATCTTTTCTAAAACACATTTTGCAATTGGAAAATGCATTTCAACATCTGAAAAGCTAAGGTTGCATGCTCTTCACCCCTCTTTTCATTGCAGCTTTTGCCTGTATGAAAAAAGTTCCACTTACTGACTTAAATTCATTCTGAGCAAGGTAAACAACAAATGAAATACCAGCCCACCAGCTTATTAATAAATGCCACAGTGTACACTGTAGTTTTATGAATAGAAAGCTGTCTTGTAATACCTGCATGAATGAAATCTCTTGTCTCACAGAATTTCTCTTGAGTCAGCCCAATTTTCCCTCAGTAATTTGCCCCACAAAGGCTGAACTAGAGCAGGATATTTTATCTCCTCTTTTCCAAATTATTGAAGTCTGGCTGATGCCTGATTTTGGAAGGTGATAGATTTTTAAATACACATAAACACACAGCTGGGAATTCAGAAAGCAGCAATAGAAAACCGCTTATTTGGTCTGATCAATCAAACCTAGCCAGCAGGTCAAGGGAGGCTCCTCTTCCCCTCTACACAGCTTGGTGCTCAGTACCTGTTGGAGCAGGTCCAGAGGAGGACCACAACAGGGATCAGAGGGATGTAATATCTCTCTTGTGAAGAAAATATGTTGTTCAGCATGGAAAAGAGAAGGTTCCAGGGAGACCTTATTGCAGCCTTTTGATGTATTCCAATATAAGAAATTTTTTAAGATGAGAATGATGAGACACTGGCGTAGGTTGCCCAGAGAAGTTGTGGATGCTCCATCACTGGTAGTATTCAAGGCTAGGTTGGATGGGCCTTTGAGCAACCTGTTTTAGTGAAAGGTAGTCTTGTCCATGGCAGAGGGGGCAGGACTAGATGATCTTTAAGGATCTCTCCGAACCTAAACCATTCTATGATTCCATAAAGGAAGTGAACCATCTGATTTCCACTTAAAATTGTCAGACTCCAGCTTGTAACAAGCTCTTTTCAGCTTTTGGAAATCTGAATCTTCCCAGCTTTCTCTATAGGCACACTTTCCTGACAAAAGAAGAACAGCACCCGGCTACAATAGGAACAACATCAATTAGAAGGCTGAAAAGCACCTATACACTGAAGGGGAAACAAAGGGCATAATGCAGGGGATTCCTGACCCATAGAAGAGCTCATTCACCAAAGAAGTACACCTCTTCTATTTTCAAACAATGCAGTAATTCCTTAAAGAAAAATTTCCTTTGGACAATTTGGTTGGAAAATAAGAATAATTCCGTTTACAAGGGCTTATGAAGAATAGTGCAAACAAGAAGTAAAATATAATCCAGTACTCCCCCTAAAAATACCAAAGTCACTTTAAATTCTAGTATTAATTTTATAGCAGGCAAAATATTTTTCTTTTGGACTTGTTCATTATCTGATTTATTGTATCTCCAATGTTTTTGATGGCCTATTCTATTCTATTCTATCCTATTCTATTCTCCAAGTCTCTCTTTTGTTAAGCTGGTTCTCATCTGTTAAGTTGCTACCCTTCAGACTGTATATTTTAGGTAGCATAACTCCTGTCTCCAGAAATATAGCTTCAGTAAACTACTTTGTACACAAGTACAACTGTTGTGGTAACAGAGGGAATCAAGCTTCTGCCAAAACATGATGCAAAAGAGTTGTTTTTTTTCTTTTCTGGAAACAGACAAGACTTTCTGTTTGAAGGAAAATGTGGGTATAAGAGAAGAATCCTAACATTTCTAATCTTTTTGATGCCAGAAATCCTCACTGCATTCTTTCAGGCTTCCAAATAGAACCTGGAAACAGTTAAGTATTGCAAACACATAAATCCGTTTTCCTTTGGCATAAAAAGCTGGAGTTTGTTCTGACGAAGTAGAATACCAATGGATCCCAGTGACTGAAGAGGAATACACATTGAGGGGAAAAGAACACAGACTAATGTGTGATGAGGTGAGTTTCACTTAGCATACATGGAGGAGACCTGCAGCCTGACTAGTACATCCCTGGGGGTATTAGAAAGTGGCACCTTACCACAGATAACTTTAGAGAAGTTACACCAGGAAGTGCTGCTTCCCAGAAAAAAAAAATAAAATCTATTCTCCAAAAACAAAACAAAATAAAAATTAGATATTTTAAAATCTCATGGGGAAAAAAGTGAACAAAATCTCAGATGAACTACTCAACCAGGAATTGGTGCAGTCCCTGCAGGTGTGGGTTACACAAGCTGAAGTCCCTTTCACACTGTTCCATATTCCAGGAAGTGCTCCAAAAAAAGAATATTTGGTGTGTGTGCTTTTGCCTACCTAACTCTGAGTGAGATATTTGCAGCAAATCCACCTTGCATTTCCATGAAATATGTTTGGACACAAGGTAAGTTTTATCAAGGACGAAGCTGACCAGCTCTTCTGGTCAGAAGAAAGACACTTGTCTCACATGGTCAGGATTAGAGTGTTGTGAACTGTTGTTCACTGCAAGACCAAGCTTATATTCACTGAGGACAAGCCAGTTGGATGCACACTTAGTTTACTCCTGCCTTTTGTCATCTTTCATTAGGCTTATTGGGGCAATTTTTGTCTGCTGCAACTTTTGCTGTATAAGCAGACAAGCAGAGCTTAAATGACACCGTGTAGAGATCCAGCTGTAATGCAGAAAGGACTAAGCAGACTGATTGGAACAATGTTAAGGAGGATCTCTAGGTGCAGGCCTCAGGGAAGGCAGGTGTGCAAAACAGCTAAGGCACAAAGAGCGATGAACGGATAGAAAATTAATGCCTTCTGAAAAAGGCATAGAAAGGAAGAAAGTAAAACATAACTTATTCTTTAAAATAAAGCTTATGATACAGTGGGATTTTAATATAATTTTAAAATAACTGGGTACAAAATTTTATCATTAACTACTTGCCATAGGGACCCTATTGAAGACAAGGTATTTGAGTCTTCATGGATATCTTGATTGATATAATAAATTAAGACTGAACATTTTCAAACTTTGTCCCAACAGCTTCTAGATTATTGTTCAATCTACAGCACGAAGCACTTCTCACAGCTGAGAAAATGTTATGTGTTATTAAGAAATGTAATTAAATCTGCACTGGTTGCAAGGACAGAAAAGTCAAGCCATGCAAATATGAAATCACAGGTAAAAGAGAAAATTAAAAACTAACGGTGAGAGCAAAACTATATATAGCCCAGGAGAAAGAATCATGGTTTAAAACATTAAGTATAAAAAATTGAAATTAAAATAGATCATCAATAAGTGCCAGAAAAACATGAATTTTTTAAAAAAACAGCGAGAAAATTAACATTATGGAAAGAAATATGACAGAATATAGAGCATAAACAAAGTGATTTATTGTTCAAATTAAAATGTGAAGTTCAGAGTTTACTAAAATGTCCAAATAGTGTGCTGTAATTAATGTTTTAAAACTAATACAAACAGCAATAAATATGTAAAGCAATTAGTTCTGAAACAGAAAGTCTTCATTAAAGACAGAAGACTACAGCAGCATTTACCGTTTGCTTCTTCTTGCATTTTCAAGTTTTGATTTATGTGAAGTTCTGAAAATAAAAATAATTTTAAAAAAGCTTAATAAAGGATCTACCCTTTAACATTAAAGTTTGAAAAAAGAGATGAAAGAGACTTTCTGTGATTCTCGCCACTTTCATTCAAATTCATTCCCTCATTACTTTCTCACTATCACCTATACCCATTATACAATGCAAACACAAAGTGAATTATCTCAGAAATACAACAAAGGAAGCTGCAAAATGGTTAACTCTGATGTTTAAAATGTAAATTCAGCCTAGATTTCTTCAGAGGAAATAATCACAAATTACTGATCCTATTCCCATAAAGTTAAAATAAGCCTTACCTTGTGGGTACAGCTCAATTTCTGAATGAATTACACCTTGGGACATAAATGGAAGCCACCTAAGAATAGGAAAGAAAATAAGAAAGCAGGTAGGAGTCAATTTTTTCTCCACCATATTACTATATAACTGAATGGTCCACATCTTATTTTCATACTTAATAAATACAACAGCAAAGGGGCTCTACCTCTAAATTTTAGTATTTTATTTGATAGATTATTTTATTTGATGATAGTAGAAACTATTTGACCCGACACAAAAATGTATTTGTGCACACATAAGAGCTGTGTAAGTGTAAACTGTACTTGTATCAGATAAAGGAAATCATGTGGCTATACTTATTTGTATAGCTAAATAGAAGAATATGGCACAGAACAATTTTTCAGCAGTATGGATTGAGTGGTAAGTATAATTTGTATGTGTCTGTTGCACTATGTCTTAAAAAAAAATTCCAATGTCAAAAACAAACACAGAACCAAACACTGCTCTTCTTTATTCCTCCTACAAATTGAGGACAGATAGATGAGTCGGGAGAAATACAAATTAAAGCAAACATTGCTTAGGTTTCCTAATCGTGTTACTCCAGGCTATGGATAATTCTGAAACCTTTTCATTCAGAACATGAATTACCAACTTTTTTAGCTTCCTCCTGCTTGATAAAAAATCAGCTGGTTTTCTACCGGAAAAAACAAAAAACAAACAAACAAACAAAAAAACACTACAGTCAAACTGGCAATTCAGCTGTTGGTTTTTATTTACTCAGTCCACTTCCACGGACACTTCAGGAATTATCTAAACCATTCAGTCTCCTAGGAAGCATGTTGGGAATCCACTATAAGCTGGGCGGGATGAGTCCAGAGTGGCTTTTGAAGGTTCCTTGTATTTTGTTTTGAAAACATAGTAGGTCAGTTCATATAAGAACTAGACCCTAAGAAACAAATTTTGTCTTCTTAGAGAACTATTTATTTATATCACTACTGCTGAAATCTGACCACACAGAAATCTTCTGCAATCTTAAATGCTAAGAAATGTCAGCCTGTAACTAACAAATACTGTATAACTGAAATCCAGTGAGAGCTGTTGGATTTTTATAAACTAGTATGATATTTTTAACTCAGATTAAATGCTGATGTTTTTTGGGCTAAATGAGAAAAAATACAGTATTTTTTCATACCCTGGATCAAAAAATATCAATGTAAAATAAAGCTGAGAGGCTGAAACGAATATGTTCCTCAAGGGCAGAAACTTCCTCCTTGAAGTACAGTGTTTCAGCTTTACATTTTGGCCAACATGGAAGCTACCCCTGACCCCCACCACTGACTTATTTTAACTCTTTTTCAGTGGCAGTGTTTAGTAGTAGAAAAGTCAGAAATGAAACAAACAAACACACAAAAAACAAACAAAAAAAAACAACCACCACCTCTCTCTGTTTCTTCTTGACAGTGTCTGTCACTGAATATTTTTTGCTGATCAACATCTGGAGCTATCACAGAATTAACACAGCAAAGTGCCCTGACATGCATCATTCCTGAACTGCACTGCCCTGACATGCATCGTCCCTAAGCCGTGTTACCCACTGCAGGACAGCTGTGAAGACACTGAGTTGATTTTCATGGCTGAAGCAGGCAGCTGGCCTGATTGCTCTGTAGAACTTCCATTAGGAAATTATATTTCTTGAGAAAGGAAGCAAACATAGCAAGCAACAACAGCTGATCTGCATCCAAATCCACTCCAGAGAAATTCTCAGTCTTATACTGCTACATAAAAACATGTCACTGATTGAAGTAAGATCTGGTTTAGAGTTTTATCAATGTGGGAGAGCATCTTTATTCCTGCTTTTCAGGATGTGACAAGAGTTGCCAGAAGCTGTTTCAGGTTACGCAAAAAAATCATTTAAAAAGCAGTCATAACAACTAGGCATCCTGCTTTTATTTTTTATTAATTAAATATTACTAACTAAATATTATTCATTCATGTCACACTGTTTCTCCACATGTTGTTGATCTCACTTGAATGATACGCATACCCATGAGGCAGCTTGCAAAACTGGAAACTCCAAAAGTGGGATTACCATAATATTTTTCCAAACATGCAAAATGCAGTAATTATCAATTTACTTTTAAGATGCTCATTAAATAACTTAAACTGAGAAACCACAAATAAATTCTGACTTTTGGGCATCACATTTGTCCCTCTTGCAATGCTGTTGTTCATAAAGAGCATGAATGCTACTTCTGGGTGGCGAACCTGGTTTCCTTCTCATTTAGAAATACACTTAGTTTAGAACCTTTCTGTGTGCATTACAGCATAGCTAAATCACACTTACTGCACAGATCCTTGTATGACAAGACTGCATTGTACAATCTAGTAATAGCCACAATATAAGCATTTAACCTTTGCTATGGACCATATAGCATATTAACTGAAGTAATATGTTCTGGAACAACATATTTTGTGGATTTTATGAAACCACAAAATAATCCAAATTTCTCTTTCCCTGGTAAACACATACATAGTTTTTGGGTTGTTTTGTTTTTATAATGCTGTCATTGATCCATATTGAAGTACATTCTTGCAGAAACTACCTTTCACAACTGAAAACATACTCCGAGTTGCTCTGAGCTTCTCTGACAATGACTTTTTCACAGTACCAATACTGGGATTTGTCTTTAGCCTCACAGCGCAACAGCACCTTCTGCAGTTTTCCAAGGGATACAGCTTCCATTTCAAAAGCATTGACCTAGAAGAGAGGAGAGAGCACTCTGCAATTAGCCACTACCAAGTCAGTCTGAAAGTTAAAGGATTTTAAAAGCGTGATTAACTCTCACAATGTACAAAGGTTCCCATGGTTTTTAATGACAGCTGGACTGTATTCAGCATGTTTGGATCTGAAAACACAACTACAATTGGACTGCAGTAATGATCCCACACAAATTGGTTCTCATGCCATCAGCCAAAAGACTGCACAAAACCCTTCACTATTGTTTCAATACCTCACCATTTACCTCACCATTTTAGTTTAAAATGAGTTAGAGCTATAATTTCGTTTGTTGATATTCATTCAAAATGCAGACTTTCTCATTGTTTTCTAATTTTGGTCTCACCTCCTCTATTTAAATTTTATTCTGTTGTGAGAGACTGCAATCAGGCATGCCACTTTCCCCTTGTTATTCACTTAGGCTTCAGCTTACAATTATTAAAGTTCATTTTCATAGGAGCATGAAGCTGATCAGGTGAAAGGTTCAGGTTAGTGATTTTCTGTCACAACAAAAAGCGTACAGCTTTCTGTCTCTAAACGTAATGGTACAGGTCACTCTTCTCAGCAAAAGGAAAATGAAGGGAAGAACTAAATTGGGAAATTCATATCTGTAAAGATCTCAGTCCCTAGCAAACAGCAGAATTGAGGCTGCCTGTGCAACTTTAGTTGTCCCCTGTGTATATGCAATAGATGATCATAAGCTATTCTCTCTGAAGGATCCCTGCCTCAAATTGTGCACGGGCAGGACTGCAGCTTCTTAATACTTCTTTTTATCTTCATTATCTTGATGACTCTATGCATTATTTACCACAGCCACTCAATGACTTCAGTGAAGCAGAACTGATTTCCCCAGTGACTTCACTTTTGCACTTTTCCACAGTACCCCAGTTCTCTGCAACTGCTGAAATCTGTTTATCAAAAGGCCATCTGCGTAATATTTTATTTTACCTAGATAGTTCCAGTACAGACATTATTGCCAAAAGCTGTCAAGATGCAAAGCAGTTTGGGTGCTCAACTGAGAAACAGAGGGGTTAATTTATCAGCATATTTAGTATTACAAAGAGCTTGCTATGTCCAGAGCAGAATTCTCTTTAACAAACCTCAGTTACAGCCATGGCTGCTCAGAAAAGTTGAACTGGATAGGCAGCAAAACAGAAGCATGCAAAAAGTGGTCACTCAGGGAAGCTCTGCTTTAAGTGATTTGCCCCATATCATGTAGCATATCTGTGGCAGGAATTACATAAAATTGTTCTAGCCAGCACTCAACTGCCTTTGTTATAAAATTATATATCCCAGGATCTGCTCCAACTGCTCTGTGCAATCCACTGTTTTGTTCACCCATTTCCATAACAAAGTGCACTTCGAGTCACCCCCCTTTAGTGTCTGTATAAGTAATATGCTAAATTTACTATCAGTCTGGCTAGAATAATTCCCCCCAGAAAACTCCACTTAAATTCTGAATTTCAATAGGAGTAGAACTTGATATGTAATACATAAGTAATGGTATAAAATATGTATTTCAAAATAATATAGTATAGAACCTCTGAAGTTTCCCAGTGGAATTTTTTATGCTTAGCATTTTAGATGCTGCTTTTCAATTAAGTCTTCTACTAAAAGGTTGATGCCATTTCTTAGACATATAATTGTTAATTCTCAATAGCTACAAAGGAAATGCACGCTTAACAGAAGGTCATAAGAAGGCTAGTAGCAGAACTAAGATTAAATTCAGTAGTTCCTGAAATTCAGCCATAAAATACTGCAGAAAATCATGATGATGTGTATTTTACTTATGGAGAAGATCAGAAGTAATTGAAAAAAAAAATTAATTTAAATATGCCCTGCATTAATCACAATATTATACTATTATACATTAAAATAAATATGCAACATAACAAACAGTCCTACTAAGATCTGAAATCATGGAAAAATTTCTGTGCTGTCCTTTGGAATCCAGCTGTATTCATTAAACCTTCACAGAATACATTTTATATTCACAAGGAGCTCTTAACAACCCAGAGGAGTTCTTCATAGCATT